TGTCCTGTCTTTTCGATGAGCGGCGTTAGAAAAAGCAATTACACCCTGTTTATAATCAAGGATCTTGGAGAGTAATGCGCAGGTGTTATGCGTCAAAATGTGTCGTGGGTTCTATAGAATAAACATTACTGCTGCAACCTTAACATGGTGATTTTTCTAGGTTCCTAAATAAACTAGGGTGCCAAAACTAGCTGGCTCAATTTCTAATTAACAGTGAGGTGACGAGATGGAAAATCATGGTGCATGGCTGATTGGTCTACTGGTATCATTCTCGCTTCGGGTGCGAGAGGCCACGGTTTCGATCACCGGCTGAGCCCTATTTTCCAGCGCGCTTATGCGGAAAGACGCGTTTTAGGTAGCGGATCATATTGACGCGAAGTCACGACAAGATAAGGCGCGGATGTTTGCACTTCACGAACTAAACGCGCGAAGAACGTTTCTAAAGGACCTTACAGCTGTCCCGAAACGGGTTATATAACTCTTGTTCGTAGATATTTCTTATCCCTCATAAACAATCTCTTTTAAACCACTGCTTTCCTGTTTCCACGTCATGCCAATTTTCCAAATACTATTGAAGATTCCGTGCCATGGTTATTTTTGCGTTTTTCTGCTTTTTTTAGACTTTTTTACTTCATACCTGATTACCAGCCGCGGAGTTGGAGCCCGTGTAGCTCAGTTGGTAGAACATCAGAGTTTTAATCTGAGGGTCGTATGTTCAAGTCCCACGGTGGGCACAAACAATGTCTTTTTCATGCTTTTTGCTTTCAACTCAATAGTGTTTGCTGCACTTGATGAAAGCAGAAAGCGCAAAATTTCTTGTTTTACACTCAGCCTCAGATAAACAAATCTATAACGAAATTAGTGTTCCGTTCACCAGAAATACGAACGTCAGATTCTCACAGGATTGTTCCACAACCGAGAACGATACGGCGGAGTTTTTAAAGCGATGGACTTTCAGTCCATTCTAGTTTCCCGGCGTGAGTTGAAATCTCATCGTGGCCGGTTAGATACTTCTCCGGAAAGTTAATATTTTTAATGAAGACTGTCTTATCATGCCTTGTTGATCGGGAGACTGAGGGAAAGGAATTCGATGCTAGTAATAATCAGTGATGTCACTGAGTAATGAGCAGGTGTTATGCGTTAGAATGCGTTGCAGATTCATCACAAAAAACATTATTGCTGGAACCCAACGATGATCCTTTTTTGTGGTTCTGAAGTGAACTACGATGGGAAAACTAGTTGATTGATATTATACAGGACAGTGAAGTGACGAGATACAAACCTATGCTAAACGGCTGAGTGGTCTAGTGGTATGATTCTTGCTTAGGGTGCGAGAGGCCCCGGTTTCGATCACCGGCTCAGCCCTATTTTCCAGCACGGTTACGCGCAAAGAAGCGTTTTAAGTAGCGATTAATATTGGCGCGAAGTCACTGCAAGATAAGGTGGAGTTCTCGACGCTTCAGGTACTAAATGCGTGAACAACGCTTCTAGAGGGCCTTACAGCTGTCCCGAAACGGATTACGTAACTGTTCTTCATAGACGTTTCTTATCTCTTTTAAACCACTGCTTTGGTGTTTCCACTTCATGCCAATTTTCCAAATACTATTAAATATTGTGTGCCATAGCCATTTTTGCGTTTTTCTGCTTTTTTTATTCTTTTTTACTTCATCCCTGATTCCCAGGCTAGCAGCTGGAGGCCGTCTAGCTCAGTTGGTAGAACATCAGACTTTTAATCTGAGGGTCGTGGGTTCGAGTCCCACGGTGGGCACAAATAATGTCTTTTTCATGCTTTTCGCTTCCAACTCAATAGTGTTTGCTGCACTTGACTGAAACAGAAAGCGCAAGGTTTCTTGTTTCACGCTCAGCCTCAGATAAACAAATCTGGAACGAATTGAGTGTCGCGTTCACTAGAAAACGAACGTCAGATTCCCAGAGGATTGTTCCAGAACTGAAGAAGAGGCGGCGGAGTAAGTAAAGCAATGTACTTTTAATCAATTTAGGTTTCCGCGCGTGAACTCGAATCTCATCGTGGCTAGTTAGATCCTTCTCTAGAAAGATAATATTTTTAATGAAAACTGTTTTGTCATATCTTGTTGGTCAGCGGAGTGAGGAAAAGGAATCCGACCCTTGTAATAATCAAGGATGTTACAGAGTAATGAGCAGGTGTTATGCGTTAAAATGCGTTGCAGATTCAACACAAAAAACATTATTGCTGGAACCTAACGATGATGCTTTTCCGTCTTTCTTAAGTGAACTACGATGCCAAAACTAGTTGCCTGGTATTATACAGGCCAGTGAGGTGACGAGATGGAAACCTATGGTGCATGGGTGAGTGGTCTAGTGGTATGATTCTCGATTAGGGTGCGAGAGGCCCCAGTTTTGATCACCGGCCGAGCCCTATTTTCCAGCGCGGTTATGCGGAAAGACGCCTT